CCCCCTCACTCCCTTCACCTTTTAATATCCCACCCAGTCCAATCCCATTCTCCCAATCTATTTAAAAAGGGGAGGGTATTCAGAGGCCATTCAACCCCTCGAGCCTGTTGTGTCACCCAATAAGGTAATGGACAATTGTCAATCCATTTCCCTGCAACTTCCCAATTGTCTGATGTCCCTCTGGTTAACAAAGGGAGTCTGTCCGTCTCCCAGATGGTGAATTCATTGCTCCCGTATTAATCCTGCTCCTGTTTAATGGCACTGAAGTCCAGACTGCACCCACCTACCCCCGACCCTCAATAAAACACACGCCGAGATGTAGGAGTGAAAATGAGGAAACAAAGGGTCAGACTTGAATTTTTAAGACTTTGCCCCGACCCTCCCAGCAAACTCTGGTGATATGGGATAAAAAAGCCTTGTTCCTCTCCGTCCATCCCATCCCTCTAAGGAGATAGGAAGCTTTGATGAAAGCAGCCTCTAATCTTTGAGATTCCCGGAATATAATTTCAGTTTACAATTAAACACATGATGATTTAACCCTTCAAGACCCCCAAATGATTCAGTGGGGTGGGGAGTAGAATCTACCTGGCACCCACCCCGTCCAAAACTGCGACTCTCAAAGCAGCACAGGGCACATATGTTCAGGCTGTGTAGCAGAACAGGTTGGCACAGAAAGTGAAAGGCTTGTCAGTTTGTGCTTTAAAAGGAGAAATTTAAGACAAGGCAATTTAAAATAAAAAGGGAGCTGGAGTGTCACTTTTGCAGGGACAGACAATGTCTGTTTCTACATGCACTGGTATCACCCGGCTGCAAATGAACAAGGTTTATACCAGAGCCCCACGTTCCCTCAAAATGCCATCCTTATCCCCGAGAAATGGATTGGGCCATTACACAGGGAAAGGGGCCAAACATTGTTCGGGAGGCGCCTCCCACCTCTCACACATGCTGGTGGGGATGTTGCATGGCGAGGCAGGATTCCACCCCCACCCCCCACCTCGGTCCAGGGTCACACCCCACGGAGGAGTGCTACAAGGCCGAGCTGCACTACCAGACACTGAGCCCCCCAGGTTCACAGGTCAGCATCTCTGGTTTGTGGGGGGTCAGAGAGACACAGTCACCCGCTCCAGCCTCCCCTAAACACCCCCTCTAGCCTCCCACTACCTATCCCCCAGTCTCTACCGAGAGAGAGAGAGAGACAACATCTATTTTTCCAAAGAGCAGACAGAGGACATGCTACGACAATCTCAGCCTGTCCCGAGCAGCCACAATCTCCGTGACTATGAAGACAACAGGAACAGACCAGAGTACATCCCACGATGGGACAGTGATGTTGTTCTCACTCCAACAGGGAGTTTGTGCTACTGTATCTGGACAGTGTCCTACTGGAGGATCAGCAAACCCAGGAGGCCATTCATACCCCCCACCCCCGATCAGGCCTGGCCCTCTGTACAAACTCACCGATTAGTTCCCCATCATCATGCTCCCACACCCCTACACCACACTCCACCCCACCCCACATCCTTGGGGAGGAAATACACCCACCCCTCGGCATTGCTCCAGTTCAGGAGGGACTGACAGAGTTCGAGGGACCTGACAGATTGACCAGGGATGAGGGGCCGATGGGACTGTGACTCTCGAAGTTTGCACTTTGCCTCAAAACCAATTAGAGAACAAAATCAGATCCACAGAACCATGAGCTGGGGTGGAGGATTTAAGTTAGGGATGGGGATGGAAGCAGGCTTGGTCATAGGTTCAGTTGTGAAGAGGAGCTTTAAAACTGGGAGCGGGGGGTGCAGGGGGCAGGGGAAAGGAAGAAATGGAGAGATTTAAGGAGGGGATTCCCAAGCTCAGCCCCTTAGCCACCCCCAACTCCCAATCAAGGCAGCTGAAGGTACAGCCCCCAAGTGGGAGAGCAAAGGGAATTGGGGGTTGCTGGAGGCCAGGATTGGAGGGGTCTAGGGGGCTGGGAGGAGGTGACAGAGATAGGGAGGGGGGTATAGGGGGCGGGGAGGAGGTGACAGAGATGGGGGGGGGGGGGGTGTAGGGGAAAACAACACAGATTTGGCACGTAGCGCTGACTTTAGAGAGTGGAGAGAGGGCAGTGAGGAAGTTTGTGGCATGTGGGGAGAAGGTGGGACGACCTACCGCGTCTTCAGCTCGTTGAACTCCTCACGGAGCTTGCCAAGGTCCAGCTGCATGCGGGCTTTCTCCTTCGCCACGTTGTCCAGGGTCTTGCGGGCATCCGCCAGCTCGTTCTCATACATGGCCTTGATGTTGACCACCTCGCGGCTGGTGATCTCCTCGGACTCGGAGATTCGCAGGCGCAGTCCAGCATTCTCTGCCTCCAGGGAGCGCACCTTGTCGATGTAAACTGCCAGACGGTCATTCAGGTTCTGCAGGTCCTCTTTCTCCTGCAGCCGGCTAATCTTGGTGGGACTCAGCGGGGTGGAGGCATTCGAACGGTTACCTCGTTTCTGGCCCGGGGTCTGCATCTTTAGATCTGAGGTGGAGCGGGGAGAGAGAGAGAGTGTGTGAGTGGTCCGACTAGAACCTGTATAAAATCGAGGAATGGCACCGTATGGGGTAACAGTGACCCTCCAAGACCAGGTGCCCAGATCCCCAAAACACTGCCATCCACCCGAACCCAACTCCTGGGGCTCCTTTCGGGTTAATTAAACCCCAAAATCCCACCCAACTCCCCCACCTCCTCTTCAAGCACTCAAGAGGGCGATTCAACAAGATTAGGGAGGAGGGTCAAATTAAATCAGAGAGAGACTCTGAAGGGAAAATATTCGTCAAGGGGAGGCAGCAGTGTTCTTCAGGAAGGTTAGAACAAGGGAGCAACTGGGTTAGGATGCACAGGAAGACTTTGAGGTGAGGATGTGCCGCTGCAGGGAAGTGGAGAAAGACTGGCTAGAGTAGGCAGTGACAGGGCTGGGTGGGGGGTTAACGAGTCGGAGTCTAACAGCATCGAGGGAGGGGTTTGGGAAATGTCATGCCGAGCGTCTGGGGTAGGGGGCACGTTCAACTAAAAAATCAGAGGGAAAGGAGAACCACATTACAATAGAAATATGTCTTCTCAGTCAAGAGGAAGGGACACACAGAACCTATGGAATTCACTGCCAGAGAACACTGTGAAGTCCAGGTCATTGAGTATATTTAAGATGGAGATAGGTAGATTCTTGACTGTCAAGGGTTACTGGGAGAGTGGGGTTGAGAAACTGCTCAGCCATGATTGAATGGCAGCACAGACTTGATGGGCCGAATGGCCTAATTACATCTTCTAGCACCTTAGAGAAGAAAAACAGCCTCTAGGGACATAATGGGGAGTGAACAGTCAGGTCTGAAGTCAGGGAGTGGCTGGGGAGTGGCAGGGTTGCAGATTTGCACACACACAGAGACAGAGACGCAGAAGCTCAAATAGTTAAAAGCAAAAAAGTACTTTGTTCCGATAGGGGGGTGAGCAGAAGGACCAGCTAGGCTCAAAGTCAAGGCAGCACTGATAAACCAGGACAGGGGCTGTCTCCAATTCTCGTCAACAGTCACAGGGACCGTACGTTAGAGAGGAATGTTCCCTCCTCCCTGCCAGGGAGAGAGAGAGAGAGAGAGAGACACACAAGTCCTTACCAGTGAGAGAGACAGGGACAGAGACAGAGAGAAAACAATCTCACTCCAGCTCCCAACCTCAGTTATTGTTCCACATACACTGTCACCCTTCACCCCCCCCCACCCCCCACCCCAGCACCCTCCCTCCCCACTGGCCCCTGGCCACTTGCCCCCTCTGACAGCGACCCTCCTCAATCCTGCCCCACCCCCTGGAGACAGTCAGGGCAGGAGCTGGCATTTGTCTGTCCCCATCCCCCTTGAACTCCCCTACCACCTCCACCTCCACCTCCACCTCCTCTACCACCACCTCCACCTCTTCCTTCCCTTCCCTTCCCTTCCTCCCTGACCGTCACTCACCTTTGCAGGGACAGCAGAGGAATGCAGCAACAACAACAAGGCACCACCGAGGGTTTGCACTGGCTCTGGGACAGACTCTGGCTCAGACGCTGCGCTGTCTCTCTCTCCCTGCGGCCGCGGCTGCACTGTTTAAAGGGCCGGGCAGCACGGGGCGTGGCCTGCCTGATTGACAGGGGCGACCAGCCAATCAGAGCACATGGGGCGGGCGGATTCTGGGAGAGGCGGGGCCTACAACGCACACGTCATTGGCAGAAGGACAAGGGGGCGGAGTTCCCAAGTTAACTGTCCCAGAGGGGATCCCCAAATCCCAGCGCCACTGTCCCAGAGGGAACCCCCAAATCCCAGAGGGAATCCCCAAATCCCAGAGGGAATCCCCAAATCCCA